AGCGTGCACTGTATAAAGTAGTTGGTAGGAATTTACATAAGTGTGTTTAGGACCAGTAAATATGTAATTTGGGGGGGGATGAATGAATGTAATAGGAAGATTATAATGTGAAAGATATATATGTATGCATAGTGTATGGCGTTATAAACCATTCCTGTGCGAGGACAATAATATCAATGTAAGGAGTTTGACCCCAGGGCCCCGACCCTGGCAATCTTACATCCAGTTCTGCGACATTAAACTAACCACCAACTCAGGGATAAACACCGACTTTTTACACCTGTCTAAATCCGGATACAGAAATGTATTAAAACTACATACTTCATGAATCTAAACCCCCGAAAGAAAATCTTTTACTAAATCTCACTTTAGGTAAGGAGTACAATTAGATGAAATGGAATCTCCCAGCCGTTCATTGGCTGATTTATTTGCCCGAGAATATAGGCAAAAATGACTTATTAGTGGACACTATCTGCTTCTTAAGGTAGCGATCATATCTATTGTTTTAACTAGTGTGACGATCTCGCTTAGGAGGAATATACGATTGTTTACAGCTGATAACACCACATGAAGTTAATTTACTGTGAGAAGGAATTGATTACAAGGTACCGCCTTATCTATATTTTAGCATTTATAAGTTAATTGAAAGTTTATAAATCCATTCATCTTAAGGGGAAACACATTCCCGTGCATTTTCCCGGGGAAGTGAAAACTGGTTGCTAACTAAGGGGATCCATCTCTAGAGGGTTTGTCGTAGTTCAACTGATAAGCACTTTGTATAAGTAATCCTACCTTACAATGCCATCCTGATGTCTGTACGGGTAAGACTGGCGACAGGTTTTCATCTGAAACAGCAGAATATAGCAAGGGAAACAACTCGAGGTTGTGTTCTCAAAACCTAGTATTTGATCAGACACGCTACATTTATAAAATACTGAGCTTAAATAACAATTCGATTGTTTTGAACATTTTTTTCCCACTGAGTTTTTAAACAATCTCGTTTGTAGTCAACATGGAAACATATCAATTCACAACAGCGTTATGGTAGGAGATAGTTTGATTCCTACTAATGGCATTCTGACAGAAAGGTTTTAATGTTCACGATTGGATAAGTTTTTAAATAATGTTATAAACTTGACCTTAGATGGTAGGAAACTTCCATGTTAAATAGACACAAACCATAAGATTGTCCTTTAAAAACCCCCACTATTTCATCTCTCGATGACGAGTTTCTCATTCCCGTCAATACTTACCTTTCGTTAACATGGCTATTTTGCATGTCATTAAGAGCCTGTCTTACCTGAGAAAACCAAGGTTATCATACTTCTAAATTTCAAGACTAATTTACCTGTGAATCCTTAGGCTATATTTTCTGTGAATACCTGGGTTATTTTAACTGTCAATACCTGCTAATATAAAGACTGTCTTACCTGTCAATACCTGAGCTATCTTACCTGGGCATACTAGGGCTATCTTACTTGCCAATATAAAGACTACCTTACCTGTCAATACCTGAGCTATCTTACCTGTGCATACTAGGGCTATCTTACCTGTCAATGTAAGGGGCATCTTACCTGTCAATACCTGAATTATCTAACCTGTGCATACAAGGGTTATCTTACCTGTCAATACCTGATCTATATTACCTGTGCATACTAGGACAATCTTACATGTCAATGTAAGGGGCATCTTACCTGTCAATACCTGAACTATCTAACCTGTGCATACTAGGGTTATCGTACCTGTCAATACCTGAACTATCTTACCTGTGCATACTAGGGCAATCTTACCTGTGCATACTAGGGCTATATTACCTGTGCATACTAGGGCTATCTTACCTGCCAATATAAGGTCTAACTTACCTGTCAATACCTGATCTACCTTACATGTGCATACTAGGGCAATCTTATCTGTCAATGCAAGGGACATGTTACCTTTCAATACCTGAACTATCTTACCTGTGCATACTAGGACTATCTTACCTGTCAATGTAAGGGGCATCTTACCTGTCAATACCTGAACTATCTAACCTGTGCATACTAGGGCAATCTTATCTGTCAATACAAGGGACATGTTACTTTTCAATACCTGATCTACCTTACATGTGCATACTAGGGCAATCTTATCTGTCAATGCAAGGGACATGTTACCTTTCAATACCTGAACTATCTTACCTGTGCATACTAGGGCTATCTTACCTGTCAATATAAGGTCTAACTTACCTGTCAATACCTGATCTACCTTACCTGTGAATACAAAGGTTATCTTACCTGCCAATATATGGCCATCTTACCTGTCAATACCTGAGCTTTCTTACCTGTGCACACTAGGGCTATCTTACCAGCCAATGTTAGGGCCATCTTAATTGTCAATACCTAATCTATCTTACCTGTGCATACTAGGGCTATCTTACCTGCCAATATAAGGGCTATCTTACCTGTCAATACTTGAGCTATCTTACCTGTGCATACTAGGGCTATCTTCCTGTCAATGTAAGGGCTATCTTACCTGTCAATACCTGAGCTATCTTACCTGTGCATACTAGGGTTATCTTACCTGTCAATACCTGATCTATCTTACCTGTACATACTAGGGCTATCTTACCTGTGCATACTAGGGTTATCTTACCTGTCAATACCTGATCTATATTACCTGTGCATACCAGGGCAATCTTACCTGTGCATACTAGGGCTATCTTACCTGTCGATACCATGTATATTTTTCCTCTCCATACAAGGACTATATTCCCTGTCCATACCTGGGCTATCTTACATGTCCATAAGAGAGCTATCATACCTGTACATACCAGAGCTATCAGGACCATCTTACCTGTCAATGCCACCTTATCTGGGACATCCTTTTGATGAATTCCTTTATTTTCCAGCCTGAAATAACAGTATTAAAATCAGCTATGTACAGTATTTTTTTCATCACTATTCGCTTCTATATTCAAGTTGTTTCTCTGTAGAGTTACAGCCTGACAAGTAGACTACACGTGTAGGAATCGTAATCATTTGACATTTAGGTGTATATGACATATACTAGAAATAGACTTTAAATCAAAGTATCTAGACTTACATTGTTAAGCCGAAAAGTGACTTGTACGATGGAACATGATCATTGTTGTCGTCACTGTTCTTTGTCGTATTGGTTATTATGGAGACAACGTCGTCACATGCCTCTGTAACTATGGAGACAGCGTCGTCACATGCCTCTGTAACTATGGAGACTGCGTCGTCACATACCTCCGTAACTAAGGATACAGCATCGTCACAAACCCCGGTCATCTCTATTACAACCGAAAATCGTGTTTACCTCATCATATAAAAGGGATCTTGCAAATACAAATACACTTTTTTCTGGTTTTCTCATTACTTCATTTTTTTAAAAACTGTTGAGATTTATAAAATTCTACATTACCTGAAAGATGTTGGTCTATATAATAGACTATGACGTACCATTTCAATCTTTTGTATTAACGTACCCATTTAAAAATTTTTAACATTTGTCTTTTGGTTTGTTTAATGTTATTTCCTTTTGGATCTCTGTGTTTTACCGGTTGATGGCCCTAATGCCTTTTATGTGTTGACGGGCCGTTAAGAATGTAGTAATAATGATAATTCTCTGACCTCAGTCGTCAATAAGCCGAATCGTTCAATTATGATAAATACAGTAATGCTATTGAATATTTTTCTCAGTTCTTCTCACACATACTACTGTATTGTAGATCTAAACGGACTTTTACCATGAATTGCAGTAAAATATATGACATGAAATTGTTCAAATTTTGTTTAGAAATACGGAAACGGTGCAACGACCAAACCGGTAGTGGAACTGACAAGTAATAGTCGAGCCAAAACATGGTGTAAACCGGAAGTGTAACCGACAAAAAGTAGTCAAGTCGCTGTGGGAGGGTCACGTAAGCCTGTTTATGGATAATCGGCTTATTGATGGACAGGTTAGGGAGAGAGACATCCCGACAAGATTTATTTTCATATGGAAGCGATAGGTTATAAGAAATGTGATTTCCCCCGTTTTTTAAGCAAGTCTTGCAATCCAAGGAGCATGATATTCCTACTTATACACCAGCACTCTCGACAAAGCTTTATATTACATTACGTTACTGTCGTAAACATGTCCGTGAAAGTTTATTTACGCTGTCGAACGTAAGTAAATATGTATCTTAGCTTACTGAAGTTTATGATTGGGCATTCGTCTCAAAACATACCTTCACAATTCATTTTATGGGATTCACCAAAATCCATAACATCCCGCCTTTAGTAGAATGCTACATCCGGATGTGACTAAAATGCAAACCGTATACCGGTGATTGGCTTGAGCCGGACTGATGTCATAATCTCAACATTATCCCATTAATTTTGAAAATGGTTTTATTTTGTAGCTCTCCACATTTTGACTTTAAAACCTCATGTGATAAATACATTTAAAATTAAAGTTTACCCTACTTTTTATCGGGTCAGAGTACAGACGTTTATTGACTCCAGACCGATATACAAATGTAGATAAATCGACAGAAAGTCGAATAATTCGCACTGTCTTAGGCTGTGCCTATTTTAATTATTTACTCATTGAAATGATTTCCAATTTATCATAGGCACAAACTTATGTAACCATACTTCGGCATCCTCCTCATTGCAATCCACCTAGTATGTATTGTATCGGTTGCCTACACGGAAGCGATGAAGTAAATACCATGTCTGACACATTATACAATCTTGTCAAAGGCAGAGACAAAACAAAGGTAAAAATTGTTTAAACTATTTTATATAAATATAAAATCTAAGGATAAAGTAATATATAATATATATGACACATTTTTATGAACATAAACAATGACGTAATAGAGTGTGTGATAATCGCATAGAAAAGAAGACGTACAAGAATTGTGTACAGTTTGCTTAGCAAACAAAGCCTTGGAATTGTCATTGTTTATCAAGACACCCTAGCAGGCATAAACAATGTCTGTACATGCAGGTAAATGTCACCGTGAAGAGGTCATTAAGTATCCTGTCCCCACATTCTTCTGGATCATTTTAACAGTAAACAGAAATGTCATTAGCACGACAAGTGTGTGTTCAGGACGTATAACGGATACATTTTTGTTCTCTTTGTCGTCAGTCTATATCTGTGACTGTCTTGTTCCACCTGGCTTACCCAAATTGACACCTCGATAATCGTTTGTTGGTCGATAATCACGATTTCCCTGTCTAGATGACGAGCTCTCATACTCAGGCTGCCTTGGAGGGGCGCCCCTCCCTGGAGATGGATTATAGGCATGATATCCAGGTCCACTCCTACCATCATTCGTTGAGGGGTAAGAAGGACGGGGTTCCCGCAAATATTGTGCATCTTTGTTTGTATTTGTCGACGGATGTGATGTTTGTCTGTCGGACGGATACGACGTGTTTGGCGGATGTGACGTATGTGACGTATCTCTGTTTGATGGATGCGAGATTTGCCTGTCGGGGTGATATGAGGTATTTTTGTCAGACGGATGAGTTGGGTGTGATGTATTTCTGTTACCAGAATGTTGTTCTGTTTGTTTATCAGATAGATGGGGAAATTGTCTGTCAGAAGGTTGTGACGTTTTCCTGTCTCCATTATATTGGCGAGACTGTGATGGTGGTCCTAGCCTCGAATCAGATTTAAGATTATGTCTTTCTCTCCTGTCCTTCGGCAATTCATATCTGTCGCGTTGGTTGACATTTGTGGGGGTTGTGTATGTATGCTCGTCCTGTCTTTTACCTAAAGCCTGATAAGATTTATCATTAAGATCAGTATGTGCTTTAGTAATGTCAGGCATGGTTCTATGCTGTTCACTGCGTGTAACTTTTTCAGGTTCATAACTTTGAGCATTACCACCGAGAGGAAGGTGCTTGTAACTAGTATTTGGCTGGTTTTCCAATCTCCGGGTATCTAACTCATGCACTGGTATTGATGGCTTGGCTTTGGAACCGAGGTAATTTTGACCTTGAGGGGAATCGATATTTCCATATTTAGGAGGCGGATCTCCCTGTATGTTATTGATCTCGCTTGGTGCAGATGGATTTGTGTCTGTTCGTCTTGAATCAAGATGACCAGGTCTTGGGGGTTTTGAAAGTTGCTCCTGATGCATGGGCGTTTCTGCAGTTGCAGGGGCGCGGCGTCTGGATCGGGGATAAGTCCCTTGCTCTTCGCTGAATGCCCGATTTTGTGTTCCCCCGTTTGACACAGAGATAGTAGAGGGTCCGTTAGGGGATGTCTGTCCGTTTTGTCCTGTTTGGGGTTTAGGACGACGTCGCCTTCCTAGAAAAGAAGCAAAGCAGAACAAATATAAGTTATGGAAATTCGTCTTAAATACTAACTTGCAAACTACAAATGACACAACAAATTATTGCGAACACCATAATATAACTTACGAGTTGACATTCGGTACAGTCGATACATGGCACGGCCGACGGGGTCCTTGTCCCGTCTCCATCGTCCATATACGTATACAAATATCACGAAAATGATAACTAGGCTTATCAGGACTCCAAGTATAATTCCAGCCACGGCACCGCTGCCTCTGAAATCACACATACATACAGGTAAGATCGCAGAGACGATGTAACATTAAGGTCACGGCACCACGGCCGCTGTAGACATGTGCATGGTGACATTCAAAGTCGCACTCCACTGTTTCTATATACAGATATACGGTTATGAAAGTACAGCTGTTAGCTGTGTGATATCAGTGATTTCTTTTTACGTTACACCATACAATGTCTGTCCATACACGTATTCCTGTTCGTCATACATTGACTGCAGTACTTCAGCGGTACTTACAGATGTTCATGCATCACCTTACAACTACACGTAACTTTGTTCGTCCGTACATTGAAATCTGTATGTCAGCAGTACTGACATATGCCCGTCTGTCACCTTACAATTATGTAACTTTGTTCGTCCGTACATTGACAGCATTAATTCATCGGTACTTACAGATGTCCATGCGTCACCTTACAACTATATGCAACATTATTCGTCCGTACATTGACAGCTGTACGTCCGCAGTACTTACATATATTCGTCTGTCACCTTACAGCTATATGTAACATTATTCGTCTGTACATTGACAGCTGTACGTCAGCAGTACTTACATATATTCTTCTGTCACCTTACAGCTATATGTAAATTTGTTCGTCCGTACATTGACAGATAACATCAGCAGTACTTACAGATGTCCGTCTGCATTCCGGAAAGTTGAATCACACTGATCGCAGCAGTAGATGTTTGGATAGTGACCACAGCACGCAATCGCGCAAGTCTGGTCTACATAGCTCGGTGCTGCAGCACTGAGGTTGTAATACAAACGCACCACGCATTCCGCTTCTACCCCCGGGCCTGCCAAATTATAAAGCACACATCTTATTATTACAGGAACAGAGTTGATCAGATTTCATCCATTACATCATTTATCATGTATAATAACAACAACCAGTGTTTTCCCCCACCAGTATTATTACACTACCGGACTAGCTACATCGAGTTCAATAATTAAAGGGTTCAAAGTTCAGACTGGAACCAATTAATTTAGACGGTTATTTATACATATCTTAATACAATATAAAACGGGCTTCTTTCTTTTACAAAAAGAATAATAAACATTTTTTGCCTATGGCTTGAATTTTGACACAAGAGAATAATTTATGCTATAAAATGTTAATATAAAAACAGTCAAGTATCAGATGAACGTCGAACGCCTTCGATTTAAACTGTTAATTAGTGACACGGTGACCTACGCGGAACCATTAAAAGTATCCCAGATGGCCATTATATCCGTGTATTTTGAGTACATCTAAATTCAGAGGATCAGACGTGTTTGCCTATGTGAAGGATGATCAATCATGTGTAACTGTGTGCAGATGAACTGATGTGTGCAGGTGATCTCGTGTATAACTGTGTGCAGGTGATATGATGTGTAACTGTGTGCTGGTGATCTGATGTGTAACTGTGTGCAGTTGATCTGATGTGTGTAAACTGTGTGCAAGAGATCATATGTGTGTAACTGTATGCTGGTGATCTGATGTGTGTAACTGTGCTGGATGATCTGATGTGTGAAACTGTGTGAAGGTGATCAGATGTGTATCTGTGTGCAGATGATCTGATGTGTGTTACTGTGTGCAGGTGATCAGATGTGTATCTGTGTGCATGTGATCTGATGTGTGTAACTGTGTGCAGGTGATCAGATGTGTATCTGTGTGCATGTGATCTGATGTGTGTAAGTGTTCGCTGGTGATCTAATGTGCGTAACTGTGCTGGATAATCTGATGTGTGTAACTGTGTGCAGGTGATATGATGTGTAACTGTGTGCAGGTGATATGATGTGTAACTGTGTGCTGGTGATCTGATGTGTAACTGTGTGCAGTTGATCTGATGTGTGTAACTGTGTGCAAGAGATCATATGTGTGTAACTGTATGCTAGTGATCTGATGTGTGTAACTGTGCTGGATGATCTGATGTGTGAAACTGTGTGAAGGTGATCAGGTGTGTATCTGTGTGCAGATGATCTGATGTGTGTTACTGTGTGCAGGTGATCAGATGTGTATCTGTGTGCATGTGATCTGATGTGTGTAACTGTGTGCAGGTGATATGATGTGTAACTGTGTGCTGGTGATCTGATGTGTGTAACTGTGCAGGATGATCAGATGTGTAACTGTGTGCAGGTGATATGATGTGTAACTGTGTGCTGGTGATCTGATGTGTGTAACTGTGTGAAAGTGATCAGATGTGTAACTGTTTGCTGATGATCTGATGTGTGCAACTGTGTGCAGGTGATCAGATGTGTATCTGTGTGCAGGTGATATGACGTGTAACTGTGTGCTGGTGATCTGATGTGTGTAACTGTGTGAAAGTGATCAGATGTGTAACTGTGTGCTGGTGATCTGACATGTGTAACTGTGCAGGATGATCAGATGTGTAACTGTGTGCAGGTGATCTGATGTGTGTAACTGTGTACATATGATCTAATGTGTGCGTATCTCTGACGTATAAAAGTTACGTTGGTATTGATCGTGTTTTGTGGTCGTTATATCATTAGCACGTGTTTACTTGTGTATCTATGTACTTTGAGTACATTCAAATCCATGTGATTTGCGTGTGTACCTACATATAAGGTGGATAAAGCAATCCGATGGACGTACCTAACTATATAGGTGATATGACGTGTGAACCTGTGTGTAAAGGTGATGTGTAAAGGTGATATGACGTGTGTACCTCTGTGTACAGGTTATAAGACGTGTGTACCTGTGTGTATAGGTTATAAGAATGTGTACCTCTGTGAACATGTTATAAGACGTGTGTATCTGTGTGTACAGGTTTATAATACGTGTGTATAGGTTATAAGACGTGTGTACCTGTGTGTACAGGTTATAAGACGTGTGTACCTGTGTGTATAGGTTATAAGAAGTGTGTACCTCTATGTACTGGATATAAGACGTGTGTACCTCTGTGAACATGTTATAAGACGTGTGTATCTGTGTGTATAGGTTATAAGAAGTGTGTACCTCTGTGAACATGTTATAAGACGTGTGTACCTGTGTGTACAGTTTATAAGACGTGTGTACCTGTGTGTATAGGTTATAAGAAGTGTGTACCTCTGTGTACAGGATATAAGACGTGTGTACCTATGTGTACAGGTTATAAGACGTGTGTACCTGTGTGTACATGTTATAAGACGTGTGTACCTGTGTGTACATGTTATAAGACGTGTGTACCTGTGTGTACATGTTATAAGACGTGCGTACCTGTGTTTACATGTTATAAGACGTGTGTACCTATGTGTATAGGTTATAAGACGTGTGTACCTGTGTGTACATGTTATAAGACGTGCGTACCTGTGTATACATGTTATAAGACGTGTGTACCTATGTGTATAGGTTATAAGAAGTGTGTACCTTTGTGTACAGGATATAAGACGTGTGTACCAGTGTGTATAGGTTATAAGATGTGTGTACCAGTGTGTATAGGTTATAAGACGTGTACCTGTGTGTATAGGTTATATGGCGTGTGTACCTGTGTGTACAGGTTATAAGACGTGTACCTGTGTGTATAGGTTATAAGACGTGTGTACCTGTGTTTACATGTAATAAGACGTGTGTACCTGTGTATACATGTTATAAGATGTGTGTACCTGTGTGTACATGTTATGAGAGGTGTGTACCTGTGTGTACAGGTTATAAGACGTGTACCTGTGTGTATAGGTTATAAGACGTGTGTACTTGTGTTTACATGTTATAAGACGTGTGTACCTATGTGTACAAGTTATAAACGTGTGTACTTATGTGTATAGGTTATAAGAAGTGTGTACCTGTGTGTATAGGTTATAAGACGTGTGTACCTGTGTGTACATGTTATAAGACGTGCGTACCTGTGTATACATGTTATAAGACGTGTGTACCTGTGTATAGGTTATAAGAAGTGTGTACCTCTGTGTACAGGATATAAGACGTGTACCTGTGTGTATAGGTTATAAGACGTGTGTACTTGTGTGTATAGGTTATAAGACGTGTGTACCTGTGTGTATAGGTTATAAGACGTGTGTACCAGTGTGTATAGGTTATAAGACGTGGGTACCTGTGTGTACATGTTATAAGACGTGTGTACCTGTGTATACATGTTATAAGACGTGTGTACCTGTGTGTACATGTTATAAGACGTGTGTACCTCTGTATACATGTTATAAGACTGTGTACCTGTGTGTACAGGTTATAAGACGTGTGTACCGGTGTGTGGAGAGGAAATCAGATGTGAGGCCAACGCAGAAAACATCTGAAGATATTTTTCCTTTGATTCATATCCATTTCATCATTTCATTGACTAAACAATGATACAGTTACATTTAAGAATATGAAACATTCTTCCTCTTCATATGAAAGTACACACACACACATATATATATGTATTCTAATACCCGTGCATTGTACTGTTATTTAGATTTACATTTTTACCAAGCAAGCATAATCAGTAAACATGTAAATATCAATAACAACAACAAATGTGAATATTGACATTAAGGTATCATTTTGAGACCGGAATTTCAGGTCTATGATTAGTTTAACCGGCAACACTCGACCACAAACCCCGTCCTTGGTTCACGGTGAGGACACATTTTACAAATACTTAACGGGAAGTAAAGATCCTCCTTCTCATTCTACAGGTGATGTAATTTATAACCTCGACAATACAGTGGAGACATCCGTTTAGTCACGTAATTACCTGTATTACTATCAACAGTGTATAGCGACACAAAAACACGATACACTTGATATATCTGTCCTTCAACAATACATAATAAACGTGGGTTTTCCCTGGGATGGCCCGCTGGCGTGTCACGGTTCGCTGTATATTGATTTTATGGCAAAATCATCCTACGTTTCATTTTGCGACCAAATAAATACTTTATACTCGTATACTTAAAGTTAACTGCTAGCACAAGGATGTGACTCGGGATTACCTGACGAAAGGTGTGTATGACACACGTCGTCTATACGCAGATAGCTTGCACTACCAACACATTTCACTACCCTGAATGGTGTTGGTTGTATAAGTTCCTCCTGTGTACGTTATAAGACCTAGGTACAACCATGCTGCAATTGGATGAACAGAAATATAGATATTAAATACAAACCCCATGATAAAGTGGCCAACAGTTGTAGAACAATCACAGTTAAACACCCTTGCAGTGTCCGACCATGTACGTCCAGTAGGCGGTCACATGGGTCCATTCGTCCGCCTGATGTTAGTCATTACAAGAAAGCTTAGAGGATAAATCCTTTCTACCAGGCCTCCATTACGGCTACCACGGAATTTCTTCAGATAACAAAATACACAGGTAGTGACGTTGTGTCAGCACAGGTGTGGAGCGTGTGCGCTGATAAACTGTGACGCGATATTCGTTCTCAGGTGTGTCGAGTCTGGTAGGTCACAGGTGTGTATCAATGTAATACAATGCTGATGTATTTATACCAAGCTATACCTATCTAAAGAATGTTTAGGCCACAATATCATTTTGTTCATTGTGTAACAAAACACACAGGATATACTCGGTGTCATGTATTAAAACGAGTACTATCGTTTATATACAGATTTACATGATTTCATTACATCTTTCTCTATATCTCCAGAATCCACGAAGCTAAAGGGTGTCTTTAACGTTCTGCATCGTATATTTTAATATATCTTTAAAAAGTTTTAAAGTCTTCATTTTCTACAGCTCAAAATACCAATACTCCATAACATGCAGTTTAGGTAATATTTTATACTGGAGAGAGAGAGTACAACATATCCTTAATGTTGAACGTCTAGTAGACAAATGAACTGACAAGAATATCACGATCACACAGTGAATGTGCAGGGATGATCACACAGGAAATGTGCAGGGATGATCACACAGGAAATGTGTATGGAGGATTACACAGGAAATATGTAGGGAGGATTACACAGGAATTGTGTAAGGATGATCACACAGGAAATGTGCAGGGATGATCACACAGGAAATGTGTAGGGAGGATCACACAGGAAATGTGTAGGGAGGGTCACACAGGAAATGTGTAGGGAGGGTCACACAGGAAATGTGTAGGGAGGATTACACAGGAAATGTGTAGGGAGGATTACACAGGAAATGTGTAGGGAGGGTCACACAGGAAATGTGTGAGGAGGATCACACAGGAAATGTGTAGGGAGGATCACACAGGAAATGTGTAGGGAGGATCACACAGGAAATGTGTAGGGAGGATCACACAGGAAATGTGTAGGGAGGATCACACAGGAAATGTGTAGGGAGGATCACACAGGAAATGTGTGAGGAGGATCACACAGGAAATGTGTAGGGAGGATCACACAGGAAATGTGTAGGGAGGATTACACAGGAAATGTGTAGGGAGGATCACACAGGAAATGTGTAGGGAGGGTCACACAGGAAATGTATGAGGAGGATCAGACAGGAAATGTGTAGGGAGGATCACACAGGAAATGTGTAGGGAGGATTACACAGGAAATGTGTAGGGAGGATCACACAGGAAATGTGTAGGGAGGGTCACACAGGAAATGTGTAGGGAGGATTACACAGGAAATGTGTGAGGAGGATCACACAGGAAATGTGTAGGGAGGATCACACAGGAAATGTGTAGGGAGGATCACACAGGAAATGTATGAGGAGGATCACACAGGAAATGTGTAGGGAGGATCACACAGGAAATGTGTAGGGAAATGTGTAGGGAGGATCACACAGGAAATGTGTAGGGAGGGTCACACAGGAAATGTGTAGGGAGGATTACAAAGGCAATGTGTAGGGAGGATTACACAGGAAATGTGTAGGGCGGATTACACAGGAAATGTGTAGAGAAGACCACAAAGGAAATGTGTATCGAGGATTACACAGCAAATATGTAGGGCGGATTACACAGGAAATGTGTAGGGAGGATCACACAGGAAATGTGTAGGGAGGGTCACACAGGAAATGTATGGAAATGGTGAGGAGGATCAGACAGGAAATGTGTAGGGAGGATCACACAGGAAATGTGTAGGGAGGATTACACAGGAAATGTGTAGGGAGGATCACACAGGAAATGTATGAGGAGGATCACACAGAAAATGTGTAGAGAGGGTCACACAGGAAATGTATGAGGAGGATGACACAGGAAATGTGTAGGGAGGATTACACAGGAAATGTATGAGGAGGATGACACAGGAAATGTGTAGGGAGGATTACACAGGAAATGTATGAGGAGGATGACACAGGAAATGTGTAGGGAGGGTCACACAGGAAATGTATGAGGAGGATGACACAGGAAATGTGTAGGGAGGATCACACAGGAAATGTATGAGGAGGATGACACAGGAAATGTGTAGGGAGGATCACACAGGAAATGTGTAGGGAGGATCACACAGGAAATGTGTAGGGAGGATTACACAGGAAATGTGTAGAGAAGACCACAAAGGAAATGTGTATCGAGGATTACACAGCAAATATGTAGGGCGGATTACACAGGAAATGTGTATGGAGGATTACACAGGAAATGTGTAGGGAGGATTACACAGGAAATGTGTAGGGAGGATCACACAGGAAATGTGTAGGGAGGATTACACAGCAAATATGTAGGGCGGATTACACAGGAAATGTGTAGAGAAGACCACAAAGGAAATGTGTATCGAGGATTACACAGCAAATATGTAGGGCGGATTACACAGGAAATGTGTAGGGAGGATTACACAGGAAACGTGTAGGGAGGATTACACAGGAAATGTGTAGGGAGGATCACACAGCAAATATGTAGGGAGGATTACACAGGATTACACAGGAAATGTGTAGAGAAGACCACAAAGGAAATGTGTATCGAGGATTACACAGCAAATATGTAGGGCGGATTACACAGGAAATGTGTAGGGAGGATCACACAGGAAATGTGTAGGGAGGATCACACAGGAAATGTGTAGGGAGGATTACACAGGAAATGTGTGAGGAGGATCAGGAAATGTGGAGGATCACACAGGAAATGTGTAGGGAAGATCACACAGGAAATGTGTAGGGAGGATCACACAGGAAATGTGTAGGGAGGATCACACAGGAAATGTGTAGGGAGGATCACACAGGAAATGTGTGAGGAGGATGACACAGGAAATGTGTGAGGAGGATCACACAGGAAATGTGTAGGGAGGATCACACAGGAAATGTGTAGGGAGGATCACACAGGAAATGTGTAGGGAGGGTCACACAGGAAATGTGTGAGGAGGATGACACAGGAAATGTGTAGGGAGGGTCACACAGGAAATGTGTAGGGAGGATCACACAGGAAATGTGTGAGGAGGATGACACAGGAAATGTGTAGGGAGGGTCACACAGGAAATGTGTAGGGAGGATTACACAGGAAACGTGTAGGGAAGATCACAAAGGAAATGTGTAGGGAGGGTCACACAGGAAATGTGTGAGGAGGATGACACAGGAAATGTGTAGGGAGGATCACACAGGAAATGTGTAGGGAGGATGACACAGGAAATGTGTAGGGAGGATCACACAGGAAATGTGTAGGGAGGATCACACAGGAAATGTGTGAGGAGGATGACACAGGAAATGTGTAGGGAGGATCACACAGGAAATGTGTAGGGAGGATCACACAGGAAATGTGTGAGGAGGATGACACAGGAAATGTGTAGGGAGGGTCACCCAGGAAATGTGTAGGGAGGATTACACAGGAAACGTGTAGGGAAGATCACAAAGGAAATGTGTAGGGAGGGTCACACAGGAAATGTGTGAGGAGGATGACACAGGAAATGTGTAGGGAGGATCACACAGGAAATGTGTAGGGAGGGTCACACAGGAAATGTGTAGGGAGGATCACACAGGAAATGTGTAGGGAGGGTCACACAGGAAATGTGTAGGGAGGATGACACAGGAAATACAAGTATATGTAAGAAGGAAACTATGAGTATGTGTAGGGATCATCACACGACTTACGTGCAAGGCGAGTAGCCGAGCAACTGGGTAAGGGGGAACAGGGCATTAAATGAATGTGGAACGGCAAAGCGAAGAAAGGAAGATAGCATAAACAACACTGAAAAAGAGTACAAAAAAAACTAGTCAGCAATATGTTACATGGAGCATTACAGAAAAGAGCTTTAATTTTCCAAAATAACAAATAAACAAGTTCGGTTTCTAACTGGTATTGAAATATGATTTTTATTTCATTTTCTTTATTAACCTGTTTACAACAATTTAAAGGATAATATTTACCGGTATTTCTTATTTGTATATATCGACATATAAATTGACAGACATCGACACACAGATTGACAGACATCGAAATATAGATTGACAGACCTCGACATATAAATTGACAGACATCGAAATATAGATTGACAGACCTCGACATATAAATTGACAGACATCGACATATAAATTGGCAGACCTCGACACATAGATTGACAGACATCGACTTATCAATTGGCAGACCTCGACATATAAAATGGCAGACATCGACATATAAATTGACAGACCTCGACATATAAATTGGCAGACATCGACATATAAATTGACAGACCTCGACATATAAATTGACAGACCTCGACATATAAATTGGCAGACATCGACATATAGATTGTCAGGCATCGACGTATAAATTGGATACCTCGACTTATAAATTGGCAGACATCGACATAAAATATTGGCAGACGTCGACATTGAAATTGACAGACATCGAAATATAGATTGACAGACCTCGACATATAGATTGACAGACATCGAAATATAGATTGACAGACCTCGACATATAAATTGACAGACATCGACATATAAATTGGCAGACCTCGACACATAGATTGACAGACATCGACTTATTAATTGGCAGACCTCGACATATAAAATGGCAGACATCGACATATAAATTGACAGACCTCGACATATAAATTGGCAGACCTCGACATATAAAATGGCAGACATCGACATATAAATTGGCAGACCTCGACATAAAATATTGGCATCCGTCGACATAAAATTGGCAGACCTCGACTTATAAATTGGCAGACATCGACATATAGATTGTCAGGCATCGACGTATAAATTGGATACCTCGACTTATAAATTGGCAGACATCGACATAAAATATTGGCAGACGTCGACATTGAAATTGACAGACATCGACTTATAGATTGTCAGGCATCGACATTTAAATTGGCATACCTCGACTTGTAAATTGGCAGACCTCGACATAAAATATTGGCATCCGTCGACATAAAATTGGCAGACCTCGACATACATCCACCATATTAGTCTCAAACTTAAATGCTAAAACTCTCATACTCTGACACAAACATAGCAGAATCATGCATAACGTTCCTACAGTGTTAGTAATTGTTATTGATATAGATGTGACCGAGGAACCTGTGAGGAATCTCACGTGATAATGGAGGGTCACTGAGTATTATGTATTTTTGTAAAACTAGTTGTCGTAGTAAACAATATCAGTATATAAAATTGATAAATTACATAGTAAATGTATATCTTCAAATTCAATTGTTTATTTTAATTTAAAATGAATAGATCTCGATATCTTAAAAGAGGTAAAATACGGAAAATAGCACATACCCCATGCCTATGGACTTAAACATAATCACGTGACAGTGTTAATATACATCTTAAAGAAGCCAAGAGCCCGAGAAGCAAATTAAAACCAAGAAATTAACCTGGTCCTTTCGCATTGTGGAGAATAATTCCAATATACTATATGACTATATGATTGCTATTGTCGTAGTGGCATGACAACATGTCAACAAACTCGTTAAGGAAGTACACAAACTAGTATTGGAATACACAGTAGTTTAAATGGAGAATATCGATATAGTATTCAGCAAGTTTAATGCATAAAAATATTCATTCAGTTTTAAGACGTTTGTCTTCAATGTATTCCGTCAATTTTCCAGACACATGTCTACAAATTATACAGTCAGTTAAAAAAAACACATGTCTATGTAAAATTATGTCGGTTTTAAAGACACGACGTGTCTACATAGTATTCAACTTTAAAGACGCAAGTCTTCATAGTAATCAATTTTAAAGACACACGTCTTCGTAGTATTCAGTCAGTTTTAAAGGGACAATGTCTATATATGTCTATATAACATTCATTCTGTTCTAATACACGTGTCTGCATAATATACAGTCAATTTTAAAGACATGCATATACAAAGTATTACATCATATTTAAAGACATATGTCTACGTGATAATTCATCTGTTTTAGACACACGCGTCTACATAGTAATTAGTCAGTTTTAAAACACGTGTCTGCATAAGCAACATATATCTACATACCTTTTCTAATTTTTCTGAGCACTGTGTCTACAAATCATTGAGTCTGTTTTCATATTGCGCTCTAACCAAATATTTCATGTCATGGTCAGAGTTTCTATTGACATTCCATACAAATTTACAGTAAAATCACGAATTAAACCCACCCATGTTTCTCGTCAAGTTTGAAATCAAACGAAAACATACTGTTTGCAGCTGAAACGTACAATACTTAATCCGATTATTCTAGTCACACAAGTCTATAATGTATTAAGGCTATTCCCTCGAAGGAACCTTTTGATTCGACTTTTTCTAGATGACCAGTTCGGTACGAGGTCGTCTGGTTTCCTACAATCGCTGTCTGTATCAGTGGGGTCAGCACCGTATCGCATTAACAGGCGGACGGCGTTAGGACGACACCACTTGCATGCGTAGTGTAAGGGGCTCCAACCTTTTTCGTCTACACATTTCACGTCAACGTCGCAACTCAGAAGATACTTTATACAGACATCGTTTCCGTACTGGCAAGCGTAGTGAATGGGTTGTTTCCCCTTGCTATCCACTGACGTAATTGATGCTCCCTTCGTAACCAACATCTTGACGACATCGGTGTTGCCCCGTCCACATGCGTAATGTATGGGTTGTTTTCCATGGAGTCCTCGGTGGTTCACGTCGATGCCATGCTTGACTAACTCTTGTAAACATTTCAAGTTGCCGCTCTCGCAAGCATAAAACACAGGCTGGTGTCCATAATCGTCCGTGATGCTTGGATTTGCTCCTTTGGAAAGGAGCAATGTTACACAACCTATTCTTCGATCGCGCGCAAATGTGCAGGCATAATGAAGCGCAGTTCTACCGTGATTGTCTACAGCGTTTACGTCACTGATGGTTCTCAGAAGAAGTTCTACACATCGGACGCTGTCACTCCCGGCCCGTTCCGGCCCACCACCTTTACAAGCAGCATGTAGAGGCAGACACATAGACGCATCCTCTTTGTCAGGGTCCGCACCATTACGTAAAAGAATCTCCACGTTTTCGGCCAAATTTGTCTTACAGGCTAAATGAAGAGGAGATGTCCCAATACAGTCTGGACAGTGAATGTCTGTCCCATTGGACACAAGGTATGTGATGAGGCTGGGACAATGAAAAGTCGACGCGTAATGAAGCACAGTTTTATCCAATCGGTCAGCAACGTTCAGTCGAATTCCTTCCTGCTGCAGGAACTGCACACACTCTAGACTGCCTGCCATACCGGCATAATGGATGGCCTGCCTGTCGGTATTGTCCTTGGCCATCAGAGATGCCCCATTTTTATGTAGCACCTTCAGTATTTCTAGATGTCCGAACTCACATGCGTAATGTACGGCCTGTTTCTCAGTATAGTCCTGTAGATTGACATCCGCGCCGTGACGGATCAATAATTTGACCAAATCGAGGCTGCCTTTTTTACACGCGACGTGAAGACACCGAAAAGACATTGATCCACACGCAAAATTGACCATCGCACCATGATCTATTAACGCTTCCACAATATCCACATGTACTCGACTGACCGCTTCCATCATGCAGCAGTCTGGTATGGTCAGACGGGACGCGTAATCTTCAATGTTATCTTTCAATCCCTTCTGCTTCTTTAAGAGAGCCTTCACTATGGTGGTTAATCCCTTCTGGCAAGCCATAAAGAGAATTGATTCAGGTATCTCGTTCGTGGAAAAGATCTTTGATTCTACACTTGTAAGCAAATCAAATGCTGCTTGAGGAGGCAGTTTCATTACCCGATCGACAAAAGCCGCTTGCATACCAATGTCTTGGATACTGGGATTGACGAACATGGCCCGAATGGTGCCACGTGACACGTCATCGACCCATCTAGCAGCCAACACGTGATACTTAGGTTTTCTCAACACGATAATATCAAGATCGTTAGAACAAACCTCAGGAATATTTTCCGTTCTTATCCTCTTTTCTATAAACGAGGAAGATGCAACCCGAACGACTTCATTAGGATATCGTGAACCAAATACCAGGCAAACAGTGTCAAAAATCGCATCATGAATAAATCTGAACTCCTCCTCCACTTCCTCAACATAAACTCCAATCATTTCGTCAAGACTGGTCTCTACTTTGCCATCCTCAGATTCCTGAATACCGTACACTCTCATAATTGTTTGTATCTTTTTACGATCTCGCTCATCACGTGACTCAAACTGGTTAAAGACATTCCTTGGCAAGCTTCCGTCAAACATCATAACGAGCACCAAACCACAGAACGCATGCACATCAGTGGTTGCCAGAAGTTTCAGCTGACCATGTAAGACAGAGAGCGTCTCATCCAAGAATATGTCTAACTTCTGCATTCGTTTATCACTGCCAAACATCTTACACAGGAGAGGAAAGCCAGGTACGTAAGCATTTTCTTTAGAGAAATTTAATTGTGTCGGGAAGAGGCCTTGGTTTTCACAGTAACTGGCAACGATCCTGGTTTTTTCGATCATGTTGAGGCGATATTCTTCTCCCGAGAGGTCAATAAGGTTTTCCTTGTAACAAGGACATTTATACAAAAGTGATTGACATTTCATGTAAACATGTTTCCGGGTAGTCATAAGAAGTTTGCACTTGTCAAGTTTCACGAGACTTTCAACTTTGTCATGGAGTCGCGTCCACGTTTCTAAAAGTCTCATGTTCATTGTTGGCGTACCAAAAGCATCGTCCACAAAATATATAATTTGCTTATCGTCGTCATAGAGACGTTCTATGAGGGCGGGGTCTGATAAAACGAGGACGGTCGCGCCTTCTTTCCGTAGGCGGTTGAGAAGATTAACAGCAATAGTAGATTTGCCATCTCCAGGGTTTCCCATCAAAGTCAGTGTTCCTTTGGAGGAGAGAAGCTGGAGAGCCGCTTGGGTTGCCCTGGTATTGATAAAATATTTTCTATCTTTCATTTGGAACTCCAGAAATCTCTGTGTCTGCGCTGTGAACACGAAATAGAACATAAAAAGAAATCAATAATAAATAAGACATCCACCATACTATCATCAAGATATATTCTAACGATGAACTGTTTATACGTTCGACCTGAGTACAATATAAATCTTGACCTGTCTACTGATCATGGTGTTGATTATTTACAGGAAATATTTATTTAAGCATAAAATATATCTTGAGGAAAAACAATAAAAAAAAACAAATACAAATCTGCTTTGTACTATATTCTTCCGTTCAGATGTGAGAAAACCACAGGTTTTACAGACGAGCGTATCTGTGTAGAAAACCACAGGTTTTACAGACGAGGGTATCTGTGTAGAAAACCACAGGTTTTACAGACGAGCGTATCTGTGTAGAAAACCACAGGTTTTACAGACGAGCGTATCTGTGTAGAAAACCACAGGTTTTACAGACGAGGGTATCTGTGTAGAAAACCACAGGTTTTACAGAAGAGGGTATCTGTGTAGAAAACCACAGGTTTTACAGACGAGCGTATCTGTGTAGAAAACCACAGGTTTTACAGACGAGGGTATCTGTGTAGAAAACCACAGGTTTTACAGACGAGGGTATCTGTGTAGAAAACCACAGGTTTTACAGACGAGGGTATCTGTGTAGAAAACCACAGGTTTTACAGACGAGGGTATCTGTGTAGAAAACCACAGGTTTTACAGACGAGGGTATCTGTGAGGAGAACCACAGGTTTTACAGACGAGCGTATCTGTGTAGAAAACCACAGGTTTTACAGACGAGCGTATCTGTGTAGAAAACCACAGGTTTTACAGACGAGCGTATCTGTGTAGAAAACCACAGGTTTTACAGACGAGGGTATCTGTGTAGAAAACCACAGGTTTTACAGAAGAGGGTATCTGTGTAGAAAACCACAGGTTTTAAAGACGAGCGTATCTGTGTAGAAAACCACAGGTTTTACAGACGAGGGTATCTGTGTAGAAAACCACAGGTTTTACAGACGAGCGTATCTGTGAGGAGAACCACAGGTTTTACAGACGAGCGTATCTGTGTAGAAAACCACAGGTTTTACAGACGAGCGTATCTGTGTAGAAAACCACAGGTTTTACAGACGAGGGTATCTGTGTAGAAAACCACAGGTTTTACAGACGAGGGTATCTGTGTAGAAAACCACAGGTTTTACAGACGAGCGTATCTGTGAGGAGAACCACAGGTTTTACAGACGAGCGTATCTGTGTAGAAAACCACAGGTTTTACAGACGAGGGTATCTGTGTAGAAAACCACAGGTTTTACAGACGAGCGTATCTGTGTAGAAAACCACAGGTTTTACAGACGAGCGTATCTGTGTAGAAAACCACAGGTTTTACAGACGAGCGTATCTGTGTAGAAAACCACAGGTTTTACAGACGAGGGTATCTCTGTAGAAAACCACAGGTTTTACAGACGAGCGTATCTGTGTAGAAAACCACAGGTTTTACAGACGAGCGTATCTGTGTAGAAAACCACACGTTTTACAGACGAGCGTATCTGTGTAGAAAACCACAGGTTTTACAGACGAGGGTATCTGTGTAGAAAACCACAGGTTTTACAGACGAGCGTATCTGTGTAGAAAACCACAGGTTTTACAGACGAGGGTATTTGCGAGGAGAACCACAGGTTTTACAGACGAGCGTATCTGTGTAGAAACCCACAGGTTTTACAGACGAGGGTATCTGTGTAGAAAACCAAAGGTTTTACAGACGAGGGTATCTGTGTAGAAACCACATGTTTTACAGACGAGGGTATCTGTGTAGAAAACCACACGTTTTACAGACGAGCGTATCTGTGTTGAAACCACAGGTTTTACAGACGAGGGTATCTGTGTAGAAAACCACACGTTTTACAGACGAGGGTATCTGTGTAGAAACCCACAGGTTTTACAGACGAGCGTATCTGTGTAGAAAACCACAGGTTTTACAGACGAGCGTATATGTGTAGACAACCACACGTTTTACAGACGAGGGTATCTGTGTAGAAAACCACAGGTTTTACAGACGAGCGTATCTGTGTAGAAACCCACAGGTTTTACAGACGAGGGTATCTGTGTAGAAACCCACAGGTTTTACAGACGAGCGTATCTGTGTTGAAACCACAGGTTTTAGAGGCAAGGGTATTTGTGAGGAGAACCACAGGTTTTACAGACGAGCGTATCTGTGTAGAAACCCACAGGTTTTACAGACGAGGGTATCTGTGTAGAAACCCACAGGTTTTACAGACGAGCGTATCTGTGTTGAAACCACAGGTTTTAGAGGCAAGGGTATTTGTGAGGAGAACCACAGGTTTTACAGACGAGCGTATCTGTGTAGAAACCCACAGGTTTTACAGACGAGCGTATCTGTGTTGAAACCACAGGTTTTAGAGGCAAGGGTATTTGTGAGGAGAACCAAGGTACTAGCCTAGTCATTAAAAAGTATATGTCTAGTGTCCGATACTAGGTAAATAGAGATCTTCACAAAAGAATAAACACATACCTGATACAATTAATTTGATAGTGATGAAACTAGTTGTTATGGAACTATAGGAATAGGAATATATATATATGAAACTATCGAGGAGTGTTCTGTTGAAGTGGTCTATGTTGATGTAATCAAGTACGTACCCGTGTACATCTGCATGTCGTCCTGTCTTTGTCCAAAACGGATCTGTTTCAGTGTGGTAGTGAAGTCGGTCCACTTTTGATATGGACACTTTTCTTGATTACCATTGTCTGGTTCTGTAAGGAGAACGTGAGAGTTATGGACTAGCGGCAGCAAGTCAAATGTACGCTCTTAAACAGACTGGACCAGGGTTTTCATCTTAATTAACGTATTTCAAGCTAGAACAACAGAATATCACATACCGTCAAAATCGCAGTTGATTTTCTGGGCTAAGTCGTATCGGTCTATCCCAGATAGAGACCGCGTCAGCAGAGGAAGCGGGTCAAGGTTATGTTTCAAGGTGGCCTCGTGCCACTTCATGAGCATTGAGGCGATACATTGCGAAGTGTTATTGGGGAAAGCTGCCCGGAGATGATCCAGTTGGGAGTCACTGAAGCCAAGCTCGTAGGCAAGGAGACACCACTCCTTCCCGATCTCTAACGAGAGCTGGCCAAGATCTGTACAGAAATGATAGATTTACATATACTTATTGGCAGGGTCGCATTTCAAATGCTTTGAATAATGATATCAGATCGCCGAAAAGGATATTCGTGGAAAAGCTTACAGATACGTAAACAACAAAATGTATCATTTATCATCTACTTTTGACGGAATACATTATAAAGGCGTCAGCTGCAGGTAAGAAAAGAAAATATCAACGTAACTAGGGGATGATACGAACAAAAGAAATATCTACATGAAGACTCGTGAAAAGATACAAGGAGAATAAGATCAGAGGTTCCGAAAGAGTTAGCGCCTTTTGCTACATCCGCAAAGCTACTGACTCAAATGAGAACAAGGTAAACAACTGAACTAACATGCAAACGAAGGAGAATCAAACACGTCCAACTTTCGGAATAACAGAGCTTTTCTATTTGTTGGTGGCATCTATTGAAAAATAAGAAAGTATAAAGAGACTTTTACTAGTCTGTATAATGTTTAGATATTTCATCTTCGGCTGTTCGACCCCTGGCTTACTAGTCTGATGTTCAACCAATCCCTTTACAGAATAGGTCAAGCTGTGTTTGCAATGTGTAAAATCATGAAAAATGTTGAATATGTTTGTGAAATACAATAGTTAATTATCAATAATCCAGAGGCATTCGATAGGATTTGTCTTTATATCAACACAGTCTTTAATGTAAACATCATACTAATGAAAACAGATATCAGCAAAATGATTAAGTTGCCAAAGTAGACCAATATAGATATTATTGGTATTATCCAAACATTGTACAAAAGATACACATGGATATAGCATCACCCAATACAAAGTTATGATAATTTTGCAATAGTTTTCGATATGTACACTGTCGTCTGCTTGGTCAGATTGTGATCGTTTGACAAATAAATCGGATGATAATGAAAATAATATTTATGGTGAGCAAGTCTCATTCAGGCGTTCGCTTGTCATTACTTCAAATCTTTCATGTTACCGGGAAGTGATCACGGAAGCAGACGATAAGTGCTACAACGATGACGTACAATCAGAAATTGAAATAAATCTCACTAAAGAAATTGATTCTTCAGTATTGAACATCATATTAAACTCATAATCACAGAAGTAGAATCTACCAACCGATACCATACAACGTTCTACTACCAAATATTAGAGTGATATTCACTGATTTTTTTTCTCATTCTTGATCACCACCAAGTAAGTTTTATTGTCCTAGTTTCACAAAACTGATATTTAGTATACACAAGGAAACATATACACATATACCGTGTCTACCGCTCTAGGTTTGGATACGGTCTAACGCCCGTACATGTACCTACACAACGTACTTACATTTATCGTCCATGTTTGACCGGATATGGTCTGGTGGGGTCCGAAATCGTCAAACATGATGGAAAATCATCGCCAATGTTGTGTGTACTTCGATTCCGTGGTGTAAAGATGTTACAGCATTTACACGTAGGCGGGAAAGTGACCCGGAGATCCACAAACTCCAGATATCAATGAAAGCAACCTGTTCAAGTCCATGGTATATTGTCTATTTCCGGATTCCCCGAACTTACGATTGAGAGCTGTAAAGTTTGTAGGCGGTGTTATGTTTTACCCCAGCAGTTTATCCAGTAACGCCAAATATGTAGTTACAGTGCACTGGAGCGAAACCTTACCGGAACATAGATTTTTGTCTAAATCACGAGTTTTCAGTGATATTTTCGAACTCTAAACTCAAAAAGCATAAATACGCATTATTTTCAATAATAAGAGAATAAATGATGATTTTTAATAGATTAATTCTTATATCAAATGTCACATTACGAATAAGGTTGTCATGGTTTTGCTATGAACACAAGAAAAACAATTATACATAACAATAATATTCATAATTTTCAAAATCGTTGAGGAACGTTATCGCATACTATTAACAACATTTGCCATTGCTTGACACTAAGTGAACACAAACCGATGTTAAACCTGTTCATATGATATATATACCTTATCGTAGGGACGAGTTGGCGTGGAGTGACTGGAAAATACGCGATCCAACGCAGAGACATGAGGAAACAAGATTCATTTTTTCGCCAGTTTCAGTTCGTATAATGTTTATTCAAATTGAAGACTATATTTTTCCCTTTACGTTTACTATCAACGTGTTTTAAAAAGAATTAGTTGTCTTGTTCTCAGTCTACTGTACCCGGTGAAGGTATTATGTTTAGTTACTGGTTAGTAACACTGAAATATTTCTGATTACTGGTTAGTAACATTGATATATTTCTAATTACTGGTTAGTAACATAAAACTATTTCTGATTACTGGTTAGTAACATAAAACTATTTCTGATTACTGGTTAGTAACATAAAACTATTTCTGATTACTGGTTAGTAACACTGAAATACTTCTGATTACTGGTTAGTAACATAAAACTATTTCTGATTACTGGTTAGTAACATAAAACTATTTCTGATTACTGGTTAAAACATTGAAATACTTCTGATTACTGGTTAGTAACATAAAACTATTTCTGATTACTGGTTAAAACATTGAACTATTTCTAATTACTGGTTAGTAACATAAAACTATTTCTGATTACTGGTTAGTAACATTGAACTATTTCTGATTACTGGTTATTAACATAAAACTATTTCTGATTACTGGTTAGTAACATAAATATATTTCTGATTACTGGTTAGTAACATAAAACTATTTCTGATTACTGGTTAGTAACATTGAACTATTTCTGATTACTGGTTAGTAACATAAAACTATTTCTGATTACTGGTTAGTAACATAAATATATTTCTAATTACTGGTTAGTAACATAAAACTATTTCTGATTATGGTTAGGAGGAGGGTGAAATGGTGGTGGTGATGATGGTTAGGAACATAAAACTATTTCTGATTACTGTGAGTAACACTGAAATACTTCTGATTACTGTGTTAGTAACATAAAATCTATTTCTGAAAACAATGTTAAATATAATAAAAATTGATATTAAACATAAAAATTTTATTACTGGTTAAAACATTGTTACTATTTCAATATAGTAACATAAAACTATTGATAGATAACATAATGAACTATTTCTGATTACTGGTTAAATGGTAACATAATATATATACAACAAATGATATATTTCTAAACTGGTTATTGAAGTTAAAACTATTTCTAATTACTGGTTAGTAACATTGAACTATTTCTGATTACTGGTTAGAACATTGAACTATTTCTGATTACTGGTTATTAACATTGATATATTTCTAATTACTGGTTAGTAACATAAAACTATTTCTGATTATGAGGAGGAGGAGGGTGATGATGGTGGTGGTGATGATGGTGAGGATAATGAGGATGTGAGTGAGTGAAAGTTAGTGTGATATTGTACATGTGGAAAATCTTTCAAAAACAATGTAAATATAATAAAAATTGATATTAAACATAGTAATTTTATCTGTGGAATTGTTACCTGACAATATAGTAACTAAATTATTGTAGATAAATAATGATCTGTTTATTACTGTAGAACAATTAAATGGTAGATATAATATATATACAACAAATGAAGAAGTAAAACCATTGAAGTTGCATATTATTTTATTCTTCGTTTTATTTATGTTTTCTTACTCAAAAATGAAAATAGCAAAATAATCTTAGCCTTGTAATCAATACTTGCCTTTACAACCATCTGTGTACAGCTGATAGCCATCCACGCATTTTTCACACTTCCCGATCTGACAGGTGGCTCGCACGACAGTAGTACAGTACGGGATAGAGTCGTTCCAGTAACAATCTACACATAAAATGGCCAAGTGTCTTATTGAAAGGAATACAGAAGATTCGGACGTCAATAGCCGTGTGTGATAGGTTCATTCCAGTAACAAAGCTAGGCGCCTTATCAATGAGAACAAAGAAGACTTAGACGATAATAGCACAGTTCGGTATGGAGTTACCCAAGTAACAATCTAACAACGAAATAACCATGTGTGTTATTGAAGAGAACACAATAGATTCGAACGGCAGTAGAACAGTTTGTCGCTCTGCAAAGATTGTACAATAGACACACAAGTGAAAAAAACCACTATCTCATAGTTTAGAGTAAGATATAGTAGAGCCAAACAATGATTTCAGCTGCGTCATACAGTTGTTTCGTCCTTCTAGGACTCGTCAGTGATGCTACATCATACAGTTGTTTCGTCCTTCTAGGACTCGTCAGTATTGCTACATCATACAGTTGTTTCGTCCTTCTAGGACTCGTCAGTGATGCTGCATCATACAGTTGTTTCGTCCTTCTAGGACTCGTCAGTGATGCTGCATCATACAGTTGTTTCGTCCTTCTAGGACTCGTCAGTGATGCTACATCATACAGTTGTTTCGTCCTTCTAGGACTCGTCAGTGATGCTACGTCATACAGTTGTTTCGTCCTTCTAGGACTCGTCAGTGATGATACATCATACAGTTGTTTCGTCCTTCTAGGACTCGTCAGTGATGCTACATCATACAGTTGTTTCGTCCTTCTAGGACTCGTCAGTGATGATACATCATACAGTTGTTTCGTCCTTCTAGGACTCGTCAGTGATGATACATCATACAGTTGTTTCGTCCTTCTAGGACTCCTCAGTGATGCTACATCATACAGTTGTTTCGTCCTTCTAGGACTCGTCAGTGATGATACATCATACAGTTGTTTCGTCCTTCTAGGACTCGTCAGTGATGATACATCATACAGTTGTTTCGTCCTTCTAGGACTCGTCAGTATTGCTACATCATACAGTTGTTTCGTCCTTCTAGGACTCGTCAGTGATGCTACATCATACAGTTGTTTCGTCCTTCTAGGACTCGTCAGTATTGCTACATCATACAGTTGTTTCGTCCTTCTAGGACTCGTCAGTGATGCTACATCATACAGTTGTTTCGTCCTTCTAGGACTCGTCAGTGATGATACATCATACAGTTGTTTCGTCCTTCTAGGACTCGTCAGTGATGATACATCATACAGTTGTTTCGTCCTTCTAGGACTCGTCAGTGATGCTACATCATACAGTTGTTTCGTCCTTCTAGGACTCGTCAGTATTGCTACATCATACAGTTGTTTCGTCCTTCTAGGACTCGTCAGTGATGCTACATCATACAGTTGTTTCGTCCTTCTAGGACTCGTCAGTGTCATCATACAGCTGTTTCGTCCTCCTAGGACTCGTCAGTGATGCTACACCATACAGCTGTTTCTTCCATTTAGCACTCGTCACTGATGGTAAGTGCCTAAATTTTGAAGCCTTGCAGGCGACTTAGGAAAAATTGCATGATCTAATCTTAGAATAGCGTCAGGAATATATGTGTTTTCTGAACCGTGACAATATTCTTGTGAATCGAAAGGTAGCAATCAGGTTACGACAAACTCAGGGACTTCATGTCCACAAGCAGTGTCTGCCCCCAGGTATCTTAATGATTGTCAAAAGATTGATCTTGATATGATATAATTATACAAGGGAGATCACTCCTGATATTATATAATTATACAAGGTAGATCTTTCCCGATATAATATAATTATACCAAGAAGATCACTCCTGATATTATATAATTATACAAGGGAGATCTTTCCCGCTATTATATAATTATACAAAGGAAACCGTTCCTGGTAATTTATAATTATACAAGGGAGATCACTCCTGATATTATATAATTATACAAGGTAGATCTTTCCCGATATAATATAATTATACCAGGGAGATCACTTCTGATATTATATAATTATACAAGGGAGATCTTTCCCGCTATTATATAATTATACAAGATTGATATTTCCCGCTTTATATATAATTATACAAGGTAGTTCTTTCCCGATATAATATAATTATACAAGGGAGATCACTCCTGATATTATATAATTATACAAGGTTGATCTTTCCCGCTATTATATAATTATACAAGGTAGATCTTTCCCGATATTATATCATTATATAAGGGAGATCGCTCCCGATATTATATAAATATACAAGGGAGATCGTTCCCGATATCATATAATTATACAAAGGAAACCGTTCCTGGTAATTTATAATTATACAAGGGAGATCACTCCTGATATTATATGATTATACAGGTGAGATCCTTCCTTGCATTATATAACTATACAAGGGAGATCGTTAGAGATATTATAAAATTATACAAGTGAGATTGTTCCAGATATTATATGATTATATAAGGGAGATCACTCCAGACATTATATAATTGAACAAGGGAGATCACTCCTGATATTATATAATTATACAAGTGAAATCGTTCCTGGCATTATATAATTATATAAGTGAGATCGTTCCAGATATTATATAATTATACAAGATAGATCTTTCCCGCTATAATATAATTATACAAGGTAGATCTTTCCCGATATAATATAATTATACAAGGGAGATCACTCCTGATATTATATAATTATGCAAGGTAGATCTTTCCCGATATAATATAATTATACAAGGGAGATCACTCCTGATATTATATAATTATACAAGGTAGATCTTTCCCGATATTATAAAATTATACAAGGTAAATCTTTCCCGCTATTATATAATTATACAAGGTTGATCTTACCCGCTATTATATAATTATACAAGGGAGATAACTCCTGATATTATATAATTATACAAGGGAAATCAGTCCTGATATTATATAATTATACAAGGTAGATCTTTCCCGCTATTATATAATTATACAAGGTAGATATTTCCCGCTATTATATAATCATACAAGGTAGATCTTTCCCATTATTATATAATCATACAAGGTTGATCTTTCCCGCTATTATATAATTATACAAGGTTGATCTTTAATTATACAAGGAAGATCTTTCCCGCTATTATATAATTATACAAGGTTGATCTTTAATTATACAAGGTTGATCTTTCCCGATATTATATAATTATACCCTGTGAGATCCTTCCTGATATGATAAAATTATACAAGGGAGATCACTCCTGATATTATATAATTGTACAAGTGAGATCGTTCCTGGCATTATATAATTATATAAGTGAGATCGTTCCTGGCATTATATAATTATATAAGTGAGGTCGTTCCTGGCATTATATGATTATATAAGTGAGATGGTTCCTGTTATTATATCTTACCAGAAAGCCTATTGTTCCTTACATTAACATACTATAAGACAGCTCTTATAAATGCAATAATAGAAGGAAAAAACCCTATTAAATACTGTACGTAATATATAGAGTTATAAAAGAGAGATTATTCATATGTTTAGAAAGCCGGAAGGAAGCCCTTTCACTTAATGTTCAATGGATACTTACTCTGAGGGGTGAGTATCCAAGATGGTTTACTGTCGTCTGCTGGTTGGTCGTTCTGTATCCAACATTGACAATCGAATGCGTATCTGCGACCATTACCATCCTCAAGGACCGCCTAGATATAATGTCAGAATATAAACTCATGGATTTTATCAACAACTGTGGATTGTTCAAGTATGACGAGATACCAATTTAGATACTTTCTATATGTTATTAGTTTAAACATATTTTATTCAACTTTAAAGTTATGTTATTCATGCGATATGGTCAAAGTCTTCGTAATAATCTTCCGTGGTAGTGACTTGAAGATTGTTCCAATGCTGCGTAAGGAAATGTTACTTGGCGGACTCGTCAATAATGCTAGAGACGTTAAGCATTGAAAAAGAGGAGAAAGGCTAAGAAAAGTCAAAATAAACAGAAAAGTTAATATAGTAACAGGGAAGTTTACTAACCCCATTTCTACCACAATAGGTGGTTGTTATTCAACTTTTAAAGCACAAATTACTTATTACAGCTGTAGTATAAACAAGCATTGGATAAACTATGAAAAACAAAATGGCTTCCATGGTGAACTTTGACATTAAGAGCACTTCACGCCCCTGCGGAAGTTCAAACGCGCAATAAATAGTTCATTATTGTTTTGTACGAGTTCAATCCATTTATCTTTTTTATTTATTTATTTATTTTTTTTTTTTTTTGAAGATTTGCATATAAATTAGGGTAACTTCACTATTGGTTATATCATTACGCCCCAACTGATATCACTGAAAAGTAAACCGTTAGTGGGGAAAGACGGTAAGACATACAGAGTCAAAAAGATTTAGAGAAACGGTGTCAAAATACAGTCAACCATAAAATAACGAAAGACAGACAGATATACAGAAGCTAATGGCAGGGAGACATACAGTGATGAAAGACGGTCAGGCATACTTTGACGAAAGAAAGTCAGACATACAGTGATGAAAGACGGCCAGGCATACTGTGACGAAAGAAAGTCAGACATACAGTGATGAAAGAAAGTAAGACATACTGTGATGAATGACGTGGCGAAAGACGTTGTGATGAATGACAGGCATAAAGTGCAGCGATAGAAGACGGTGAGGCATAAAAAGTGTCAGACAGATGAATGACGGCCAGGCATACTGTGAGGCATAAAGTGGCGGAAGACGGTGAGGCATAAAGTGGCGGAAGACGGTGAGGCATAAAGTGGCGGAAGACGGTCAGGCATAAAGTGGCGGAAGACGGTCAGGCATAAAGTGGTGGAAGACGGTCAGGCATAAAGTGGCGGAAGACGGTCAGGCATAAAGTGGCGGAAGACGGTCAGGCATAAAGTGGTGGAAGACGTTCAGGCATAAAGTGGTGGAAGACGGTGAGGCATACAGTGGCGGAAGACGGTCAGGATAAAGTGGCGGAAGACGGTCAGGCATAAAGTGGTGGAAGACGGTCAGGCATACAGTGGGGAAAGACGGTCAGCCATACAGTGGGGAAGGACGGTCAGGCATACAGTGGGGAAGGACGGTCAGGCATACAGTGGGGAAGGACGGTCAGGCATACAGTGGGGAAAGACGGTCAGACACAAAGTGGTGGAAGACGGTCAGGCATAAAGTGGCGGAAGACGGTCAGGCATAAAGTGGCGGAAGAAAGTCAGGCATAAAGCGGCGGAAGACAGTCAGGCATACAGTGTCGGAATACGGTCAGGCATAAATTGGTGGAATACGGTCAGGCATACAGTGTCGGAAGACGGTCGGGCATAAAGTGGTGGAAGACGGTCAGGCATAAAGTGGTGGAAGACGGTCAGGCATAAAGTGGCGGAAGACGGTCAGGCATAAAGTGGCGGAAGACGGTTAGGCATACAGTGGCGGAAGACGGTCAGGATAAAGTGGCGGAAGACGGTCAGGCATACAGTGGCGGAAGACGGTCAGGCATACAGTGGTGGAAGACGGACAGGCATACAGTGGGGAAAGACGGTCAGGCATAAAGTGGGGAAAGACGGTCAGCTATAAAGTGACGAAAGAATTCAGACATCACGTGACGAAAGTGACGGTCAGACATACAGTGGCGAAAGCCTTTCGATGTATAAAGTCATTTTCACAGCTTAAAGAAACAATAATAATATTAAAACTC